GATCCCTCACCCGCCAACTCGATAACTTAACCACCTAGATGATCACTCACCCACCTACCCGTACACTCACCCGCCAACCTGATTACCCAAGTGCCTACCTGATCACCCCACCACCTACCTGATCACTCACCCGCCTACCCGATCACTCAAGTGCCTACCTGATCACCCCACCACCTACCTGATCACTCACCCGCCTACCCGATCACCCAAGTGCCTACCTGATCACCCCACCACCTACCTGATCACTCACCCGCCTACCCGATCACTCAAGTGCCTACCTGATCACCCCACCACCTACCTGATCACTCACCTGCCTACCCGATCACCCAAGTGCCTACCTGATCACCCCACCACCTACCTGATCACTCACCCGCCTACCCGATCACTCAAGTGCCTACCTGATCACCCCACCACCTACCTGATCACTCACCCGCCTACCCGATCACCCAAGTGCCTACCTGATCACCCCACCACCTACCTGATCACTCACCCGCCTACCCGATCACCCAAGTGCCTACCTGATCACCCCACCACCTACCTGATCACTCACCCGCCTACCTGATCACCCAAGTGCCTACCTGATCACCAACCCGACTACCCGATCACTCACTCAACTACGAAATAGCTCACCAACCTACCCAATAACACACGCGCCTACTGGATCACCCACCAACCCGATCACCAATCCGCCTACCCCATCCGCCTAGATGATCACTAACCCGCCTACCCAATCACTCATCCACCTACCCCATTACTCACCCACCAACCTGATTACCCACCTACCCAATCACTCACCTGCCAACCCGACCACCCACCTGCCTACCCGATCAATCACACGTCTACCCAATAACCCATCCGCCATGCCGATCACTAACCCGCCTACCCAATCACTCACCCACCTACCACATCACTCACCCGCCTAACCAATCACTCACCCACCTACCCGATCTCTGACCTGCCTACACCATCACTCACCCGCCTAACCGATCACTCACCCACCTACCCAATCACCCACGTGACTACCGGATCGCCCACCTGCCTTCCCGATCACCGATCCGCCTAACCGATCACTCACCTGGCTATCTGACCACTCACCCGCCTACCCAATCACTCACCCACCTACCCGATTCCTCACCCGCCAAACCGATCACTCACCCGCCTACATGATCACTCACCCGCCTACCCGATCACTCACCCACCTACCCGATCACCGATCTGCCTAGCCGATCACTAACCCGCCTACCTGACCACTCACCCGCCTACCCCATCACTCACCCGCCGAACCGATTACTCACCCGCCTACCTGATCACTCACCCTCCTACCCAATAATTTACCCGCCTAGCCGATCACCCATCTGCCTAACTGATCACCCACCCGCATAACCGATCACCCATCCGCCTACCCCATCGCTCACCTGCCTACCCAATCACTCATTCGCCCTCCCGATCACTCATCCGCCTACCCAATCACTCACCCGCTTACCTAATCACCGAAGTACCTACCTGATCACCCACACACCTACCTGATCACTCACCCGCCTGCCCGATCACCAAAGTGCCTAACTGATCACCCACCCGACTACCCGATCATTCACTCGCCTACGCAATAACTCACCCACCTACCCAATCACCCACGCGTTTACCGGATCACCCACCCTCCTTCCCGATCACGCATCCGCCTAACTGATCACTCACCCGGCTATCTGATCACTCACCCGCCTACCCGAACGGCATGTGTGTTACCTGCTAGACTAGGACACATGGTCAGGATACACGGCCAACGACAGCTACATGGATCTTGTTTTTTTCAGAAGCGACCTGGCTAACACAAATGAAAGGTTAAAGAGGTGGCTTATTATCAAGTGGAAATTCATTGCAACCAAATACTTAAACGGTTGATGTTTCCAAATGTGGAGGGAAAAACCGGAGGACCAAGTGAAAAATCCACACGACCACGGGGAGAGACACATGCAACTCTAAATATACAGCAGGTGTCAGGGTGGGGATAAGACCCACGATATTTTGCATACCAGGCGAGGACAATAACATATCGCCATCGCGTAAAAAGAGAAGCACGCAGAGACTGGCACTGAGAGGCAGAGAGAGGAGCACACAGGGTGCGTGAGCATACGCTGAGCGAGACTACTTATGGTGAGACTTACAGAGTGGCAGCCAGAGGCGGGAACGCCACCTACCCAATCACCTACCTACCCATTCACCGACCTACCCAATAACTTACCTACTCAATCACCTCCATACCCAGTCACATACCTACTCAATCAACTTCCTACCCAATCACCTACCCAATAACCTATCTACCCAATCAACGGCAAACCCAATCACCTGCCTAACCATTAACTGCCTACCCAATCACCTACCTAACTACCCAGTCACCTACCGATCCAGTCACCTACCTACCCAATTACTTACCAAATCAACTGCCTACCCAATCGCCTACCAACTCAATCACAGACCTACCCAATCACCTGCCTACCCAATTACCTGCCTACCCAATCACCTACCTACCCAATGATCTAGCAACTCAATCACCAACCTACCCAATCACCTGCCTACCCATTTACCTGCCTACCCAATCACATGCCTGCCCAATCACCTGCCTATCCAATCACCTACCTAACTACCTACCGACGCAATCTACTACCTACCCAATCAACTACATAACTACCATCCATCCAGCAGTGTATTGACAACGGGCTGTAAGTGAGGTTCATTCTGTTAGTCAAGAGCACAGACTTGCCAAGCTTGTAGTCCAGAGCTTTGGAGTTGAAGTTTGTGGATCAGATAGTGTTGTCAACTTCTCGAATTGGCTGGGTTTAGAGGGGAATTTTTGATTCCGTGTGTTTGCCTAGGAGAGCCACGCTGAGTCTCAGGACTTATTTTCAGGAGGGTCCTACCAGGTTTTTTCAGTGTACAGGGCGATGCTGCTGCTGCTGCTGTGTATAATCCCAATGGAGTTATTTGCAGGTAATTTGTCAACATTTGGGATGTACTTGACCGATAGCAGTTGCACCATAAATGGGTTTTGTTATTTAGCAATGGGGTCAAGAAACCGGAGAAGCCAGAGGTAACCCCATGCAGAACCGGGGGAGAAATAAAATGTTGAACTCCCCCACAAAGGAAAGGACACCCCAGTTGGGAATCGGAACCGAGGGCCCCGCTTGGCATTCAGCGCGAGCGTTCAGCACTGCGCCACCGCCCTGGCCGCCCGAAGCACAGCGAGCGAGACAAAGACGGAGAGGGAGACGGGGAGAGAAGTGCGCATTCTTTAGCCTGGACTTGGATCAAGTAAGAGGGATCTAGGAACCTCCCAAGGTTCTCAGTCTAGTTGTAAAGATGCATAGCTCCAGTGGCTTCCACATATCGGTGGGGGGTGGGTGGGTTTCTGAAATATGAATCTGTTTAAATCGGGCCCTACATTCAATAATAAATACTCATTACAACATTACATTTCTCTGCACCAACGCCCCCTAGTTCCACCGCTGTCTCCTCGGTACAAAGGGATTTCCTGGACAAAAGGAATTCCAGGCAGTTTGAGCAGCAGCAGAGAGGGAGCGATATCCCACTGAGTAAAGCTTGACTGAAGGTTTTGACGTCCAGGGCCTTTATTGCTACAGGTTCATTAAAAAGGAATTTGCCGACACAGTGAAAGGGCAAGTGTCTCCGTGTCTCTCACCGCGTGTGTCTCCGTGTCTGTTTCCATCCCTCCGCGTATCCGTGTCTGCATCCATGTGTCGGTGTGTGTGCCTCTCTCTCTCTCTCTCAGAATGGGGAACGATAGTGCAGCAGTTAGCACACTGCACTAGGAACCCGGTGATCTCGCCACCGCTTGAGTCGCTGAGCTGGGTGTGCTCGTTCACGTTACGTCCTCTGGCTGCCACTCCGTAAGTCTCACCGTAAGCAGTCTCACTCGCCGTACGGCTCACTCACGGCGTGCGCTCCTCTCTCTGCCTCTCAGTGTCAATCTCTGCGTGGTTCTCTGTGTACGCGATGGCGAGATGTTACTTCCCACGCCTGGTATGAAGAAGGTCGTGGGTTCAATCCCGGCCCTGACGCCTGCTGCATATTTGGAGTCTGCGTGTCTCTCTCCCTGTGGTTGCGTGAATGTTTCACCCACCTTCCCGATCATCACGCCTTTAGAGTATTTGGACGCTATACATTTCCACGTGATGATAAGCCACTTTGTTGACCTATTATTTACGATAGCCAGGTCGCTTCTGGAAAAGAGCTATACAGCTCAGTGGGACTTCTTACCTGGTAAAATAAAAAGTTTCATTTTTGTTTTGTTCGAGTCCCACTCATGGCCAACAACACCAGTGACAATGATCTGAACCGGTCATGGGCCTCCCCTAGGTCGACTCAGCCTCAAATGGGTTCCTGGTGCGGTGTGTAAACATCACCACTGGGGAGACAAAGGCGGCCGGGCGTGGTGCTGGCCACCCACCTCCTCGTGTGCCGTGCCGGCCTTCATAGGTATTTGCTAACAGCACTTGCCCCAAAAGTCTGTTCAGGCTATATGGGGGATCTTTGTCTTTGTGTGTCTCTCTGTGTATGATCTTTGTCCATGCAACAAACACTTGGGCAGCTGAGACCTGTATCTGCGTCAATGATATCCCAATTTGTTTGAGATCCCACACGTTTGTTCTATTTATGTTTAATTCTGATTGCTCTGCAATCGCCTTTTCTACGTGGCAGCGTTTCCGTGTTCCACAACGCGTCTGTATGGATGATGATAATGATGATAGTAGTTTATAATTCGTTCGTAACTTGTAACACGCACCATTTCCGTTCATTCGGTGCAAAAAAAAAAGAGCGAGACTGACAATGATTCGGAGGTGCGGGACAACGGAGCCAAGCGGGCGAAGGCAGACAGAATCTGAGCCACCATCAATCGCCCAAGTTGTGGGCTCCAATTTTGGGACGCGTGGCCAACTCCACGCTTTCTGAAATGATGGACGCAGCACGCCGACAACGACACTCACCTCCGCCATTCTTGTAGCACAGGTAAGGAAATCGCCAGACATTGGCCAGGTCCACCGCAAATCCAATCACGGACAGCAGAAAGTCGATCTTCTTGCCCCACGTCTCGCGCTCCTCCGAGCAGCCGTCCGCTCGCAGCCCCGTCTCGGCCAGCACCACCACCACCTCCCTCACGTCCTTCTCCACATCCTCCGCCCCCTCGACCCTCCTCGCGTCGTCATCGTCGTCGCCAGCGGCGGCGGCGGCTTCCTTAGGGCCGTCGACGGCAGCGTCGTCGGGCATCGCGCAGCGGACGCCGTTCTGACCCTTGCCCACCGCTTCGTGCATCTCGAGGTGCTGGGCGCCGCGCGCCGGAGCCGCAGGGGCGACGTCCCCGGCACCGCGGGGGGCAGCAGCCTCCGTGGCCTGGCCCGGGGGTCTGGCGTGAGCGGGGTCCTCTGCGCCCGGTATCGGAGTGTCGGTGCCCTCTCCCTTGCGTATCTGCCGTGGACGGGGCGATTGAGGGGCGCAAACGTCAGCGGCCCGCCTGCGATTGGCGCGGCTGGCTCGGCAAGGTGCGAAAAAAGTTGAACGTGCGCGCACACAAAGATCGCCACGTGTGTAGACTTAACAGACTGCTGGGGCAAGTGCTGTTAGCGAGCTCCTATGGGAGGCCGCCCGGCCGCCTTTGTCTCCCTAGTAACGACGTTTACACACCGCATTTAGGTTGAGTCGACCTAGGGAAGACCCAGGACCGGTTCAGATAATCGTCATTGGTTGTTGGCGGACGTGAGCGGGAATCGAACTCGGGTCGCCGGTCTCGTAGCGCAGCGTAGCGCTAACCACTACTACACTACCCGCTCCCCGCAACATACAGGGACAGATCATTTATTTTTTCCCCCATCGCGACGGCTGACGTGTGAAGGGCACTCGGCCTTTTGAGCATTATGAAATAAACCCATGAAGCAGTTGATGGAGTACGGAACGTGTTGAGTTTTGTATTGCTGTTGTCGCTACCTACGCCACCGCTGGCTGCCTCGAGCTGCAAGCATCGCCCGGAAATTATCGGTGTCGTTTTTTTTCTTCATTTCAAGGCTCGCCGCGGGAGTTGGGGTCAAGGCGCCTCTTTTAAGTAACTCGCCTTCTCGGGTTAATCGTCGAGGACGCCTGCGGTTTTTAATCCACATCGTGGCCACCACATCCTGGGTCGCCATCGCAATAGATTCCACCCAATGGTGACCGAGGGACAGCAGCGACACAGGAGCCAAATGATCACCGCTGGGCAACCACATACGGGGAGAGTCTCCGCTTCCACACTCAACGGGACCCACGATGCAGAGCAGTTCTCCAGGAGACGCCGATGGTTTAGGGACAAATGGATAAAAGGCTGAGCGCATTTAGTGTGTGTGTAGTGTGTGTGGTGTGTGTGTAGTGTGTGTGTAGTGTGTGTTGTTGTAGTAGTGTGTGTGTGTAGTGTGTGTGTGTGAGTGTGTATGTGTGTGTAGTGTGTGAGTGTAGTGTGTGTAGTGTAGTGTGTGAGTGTAGTGTGTGTAGTGTGTGTGTGAGTGTGTAGTGTGTGTGTAGTGTGTGAGTGTAGTGTGTGTGTGTAGTGTGTGTGAGTGTCGTGTGTGTGTCGTGTGTGTAGTGTGTGTGTGTCCTGTGTGTAGTGTGTGAGTGTAGTGTGTGTGTGTGTCATGTCTGTGTGAGTGTCGTGTGTGTAGTGTGTGAGTGTAGTGTGTGTGTGTCATGTCTGTGTGAGTGTATTGTGTGTGTGTCATGTGTGTGTGTCATATGTGTGTCGTGAGTGTGTGTGTGAGTGTCGTGTGTGTGTCGTGTGTGTGTAGTGTGTGTGTAGTGTGTGAGTGTCGTGTGTGTGTGTGAGAGTGCGTGTGTGTGAGTGCGTGTGTGTGAGTGTCGTGTGTGTGTGTGTCATGTGTGTGTAGTGTGTGTGTGAGAGTGTGTGTGTGTGTCGTGTGTGTGTGAGTGTAGTGTGTGAGTGTCATGTGTGTGTGAGTGCCGTGTGTGTGAGTGTAGTGTGAGTGTCGTGTGTGTGAGTGTCGTGTGTGTAGTGTGTGAGTGTCGTGTGTGTGTCGTGTGTGTGTGTGAGTGTCGTGTGTGTGGCATGTGTGTCGTGTGAGTGTGTGTGAGTGTCGTGTGTGTAGTGTGTGTGTGAGTGTCGTGTGTGAGTGTCGTGTGTGTGAGTGTCGTGTGTGTGTGAGTGTCGTGTGTGTGTGTCGTGTGTGTGAGTGTCGTGTGTGTGTATGTGTGTCGTGTGAGTGTGTGTGAGTGTCGTGTGTGTGTGTGAGTGTCGTGTGTGTGTGGTGTGTGTGTGTAGTGTGTGAGTGTCGTGTGTGAGTGTGTGTGAGTGTCGTGTGTTTGTGTCGTGTGAGTGTGAGTGTCGTGTGTGTGAGTGTCGTGTGTGAGTGTCGTGTGTCGTGTGAGTGTCGTGTGTGTGAGTGTCGTGTGTGTGTGTGTGAGTGTGTGTGTGAGTGTGTGTCGTGTGAGTGTCGTGTGTGTGAGTGTCGTGTGTGTCGTGTGTGTGTGTCGTGTGTGAGTGTCGTGTGTGTCGTGTGTGTGTGTAGTATGTGAGTGTCGTGTGTGTGTGAGTGTCGTGTGTGTGGTGTGAGTGTCGTGTGTTTGTGAGTGTGTGTGAGTGTCGTGTGTGTGTGAGTGTGTCGTGTGAGTGTGAGTGTCGTGTGTGTGAGTGTCGTGTGCGTGTTGTGTGTGTGCGTCATGTGTGTGTGTGCGTGTCGTGTGTGCGTGTCGTGTGTGAGTATAGTGTGTGTGGTGTGAGTGTCGTGTGTGAGTGTTGTGTGTGTGTGTGAGTGTCGTGTGTGAGTGTTGTGTGTGTGAGTGTCGTGTGTGAGTGTAGTGTGTGTGAGTGTCGTGTGTGTGAGTGTCGTGTGTGAGTGTAGTGTGTGTGTGTGCGTGTTGTTTGTGGGGAGCGGTAGTGTAGCGGTGAGCACGCTGCGCTATGAACTCGGCGTCCCGTGTTCGATTCCCGCTCACGGCCAACACCAGTGACGATTATCTAAATCGGTCCTGGGCCTGCCCTAAGTCGGCTCAGCCTCAAATGAGTACGGTGTGTCAAAATCGCCAAGAGGGAGACAAAGGCGGCCGGGCGTGGTGCTGGCCTCCAACGCATTCATGTGCCGTGCCGGCCTTCAATAGGTGCTAGCCGCGAACAGCACTTGGCCCCAACAGTCTGCTGAAGCTATACGGGGGATCTTTATCTTTGTTTTTTTGTTTGGGATGCGCGATTTTCCCGGCCGGCGCGCTTTTTTTTTAATTTTCAATTGCGTTGAGATTTTCTGGCAAATTTACAGATTTTTGCAGATTCCATTCGGGCCGGATTTAACGGATGCTCCGTTTGCGCGAACGACAAGCTCTGGGCCTTATCCAGACCACCAGCTCAGCGGAACTGAATGCGCGGCCGTGTTTACGTTAAAGATTCCACTCGCCCGCCGACGTTAGACAGCGGTCACGCTCACCGCTGTGCCGGAGCCGTAGCGGTCAACCCACACCGTCCACTCCGGATTGTTGCGCAGGGAAATTGAGTTTCCAGGTCCAGGCGGCGTGCAGCTTGTTTCAATGCGGGCAAAATATGTATACATATATGCATATAAAGATACCTATGTTTGCGTCTGTTTGCGTTTCTCCCTTGTGATGATGGACTTTGTAGGGTGGACGCTTACATTTTTAAGGGCACGGGGTGAGACCAGTAAGGTCTGAATCGGTCTGTAATAAGGTAGGGCACCGATAAGGGGTTGACAGGTATGCACCGGTCATTGTAAGGCTAATAAACTTGATATTGTTTCGTTTAACTGTTGCAGGCTTTAAAAAAAACAATGATAAGTAGAAGTAAAGTGTTAACTTATTACGATGTTATTTTAATGAAATTGTATACGAGTTCGCGGAAGTACATTTCCCTTAAAGAGGCTCTACACGTAACTACATATCTAAACAACCGTTCACCAGTGTGGACATTAATACATGGCATGTCACGTGACTTGTAATGTTGTACAAAGGAAATCTACCTACGTGGATAGTCGAGAGGCATCCTAACGCATTCACTCGATTCGACAACATTGCACCGTCGGCGTCATCACTATAATCACATCACCGATAATCGTCATCGGAATATTCGTAATCATTTTCATCATAATGTATAATATGATTGACGACGTTTCGGGCAATGGCCCTTCTTCACATTTTACATTCACGCAACGCGACATTAACAGGGTTCACGTGATGAACATACATCCAAAACAACAAAGACAAAGATCCCCCGTGTAGCCTTCACAGACTGTTGGGGCAAGTGCTGCTAGCGAAGGTCGGCACGGCACACGAGCGGGTAGATGACCAGCATCACGTCTGGCCGCCTTTGTCTCCCCAGTGACGATGTTGACACACGCACCAGCTACTCAATTGAGGCTGAGTCGACCTAGGTGAGGCTCAAGAACAGGTTCAGATCATCGTCAATGGTGTTAGGGGGAGTGGACACAGCGTGTGGGTGTGGACACAGCGTGTGGGTGTGGACACAGCACGGGTGTGAATCTACAAAGGTTGGACAGACAGCATTAGTGCGTGCAGCTCGAACAAAATTCACAGAGAATAAACATCGTTATTAAAATGTTCTCCTGGGTCACACTCACGGGCTGGTTTACGAAGCACGTGGGCTGCGTGAGAGGCACACTGGATGTGGTGTGCAGGGCATGGGAATATTGTAATCGTCGTTAGTCCGCAGGGACCTGGCTGAAACAAAATCCCGAGTGTGCCGATAAAGGTGATGGATCATGAAAGTGAAACGTGATCAGCTACAAAAGGCCGATTATTTCAACTGATCCCCCTTTTTTTGTTAGGGGCAAAATACACGAGGCTCAAATAATAGTGAGACTTAAAAAAAATATACATACATGTTCATTCCAATCTACACACCTCAATGGACTCAGTAGATAGGTGAACACTCTCCACTCTGTAACACACACAGCAATATCGCTCACACGATATTCAACTCAGCTAAGGGTATCTATAATTGGATCCGCGTGTACGCGTTTTTGTACTGAAGAGTTGTGGGGTCTTTTTTTTGTCGTTCGTTAAAGAATCATCGGAAAGTGTGGCACGAGATGAGATAAAGATCATCCGCGGTGGCCTTCACAAACTGTTGGGGCAAGTGCCGCGAGAGAACGCCCTGTGGAGGATCGGGCCACGTGCGATGGGCGAGGTGTGGGCCGGTACCTTTCCCGGCCGCCTTTGTCTCTCCTCCGTTGCTGGCGTTTTACACGCGGCAGCGGATACTCGTTTTGAGGTTGAGTCGACTTAGGGGACGCCCAGGAGCGATTCCGATTTCCGCCATCCGATGTTAGCCATGAGCGGGAATCGAACTCGGTTCGCCAGATTTCGTAGCGCAGTGCGCTCACCACTGGATTACCCCCCCCTCCTCCCCACCCTCGATCATAAAACAAAGACAAAGATCCCCCGTGTAGCCTTCAACAGACTGTTGGGGGCAAGTTGCTGTTAACGAGCCATCTAGGAAGGCCGGCACGGCACACGAGGGGATGGGTGACCAACACCACGCCCGGCCGCCTTTGTCTCCCCAGTGCCGATGTTTACACACCGCACCAGGTACTCATTTGAGGCTGAGTCGACCTAGGGGAGGCCCAGGACCGGTTCAGATAATCGTCGCTGGTGTTGGCCGTGAGCGGGAATCGAACTCGGGTCGCTGGGCTTGTAGCGCAGTGCGCTAACCGCTACACCACCGCTCCCCCCCCCCAGTACTATTCATGCGCTTGAACATAGACAAACTGCACTCTCTTAACAAAACAAAGGCTCCATCGCCGTCCGTGCTGTCGACTCCCTGCGCCTATTCAGTCGCCCTAGGGACTCTACGTAGAACTCCATTGTAGCTGTTGTATTGCATAGACTCACACGGAGACCCATAGACTCGTGCAGTGTCATAGACTCACACGGAGACCCATAGACTCGTGCAGTGTCATAGACTCACACGGAGACCCATAGACTCGTGCAGTGTCATAGACTCACACAGAGGCTCCATACACTAACAGATCCTCCATACACCCGCACAGAGACCGATTGACTAACATAGAGACCCGTAGGCTCACATATATGCATGTAGACTCACATAGATACATGTAGACTCATATAGAGACCCGTAAGATTCACATAGAGATCCGTAGACTCACATGGAGAACCATAGACTCACATAGAGACCCGTAGACTCACATAGAGACCCGTAGACTCACATAGAGACCTGTAGACTCACATAGAGACCCATAGACTCACATAGAGACCTGTAGACTCCCCTCAAGACGCGTAGACTCACATAGAGACCCGTAGACTCACATGAAAGTCATCCTGCTGTGTGTCAGGTTCATTCATACAGATGCGGCTGCATCTGTATGAATGTTGAACTTCTTTCGCACCGTGCGTAGTGAACCGTGCTCATCTTTTATTGTATCTGTTCAAACTGCACAAGGTAGGTCAACAGCTCTTCATAAAACAGATACGTTTAAAAATAGACCGACGTTTCGGGCGACGGGCGTTCGGGAAAAAGTGCAGTAAAGAGGCAAGCCTACTACTCATCGAGCTTTTTTTGGGTTAGACCGCGTAAAAACAAAAATTGTCTGTCGGGCGGTGGCGGGTTTAACGACACGTGTATATATGTACGCGGTCTCTCACCTGCCAACACCCCCCACCCCCTCCCCATGTATTATGGATGATATCGTTCGCGAAAGCCTCCTACTTACTGCTCGCTGCTGAACTGAGGTCGCCTGCTGCTGCGCGTGGATTTATATCGCGTGGCAAATGCAACGGTCTCAGCGAGGTTGGCTCCAGCGATTTCACGCTCACATTACGGCACACAGTTGGACTATTTGTGCGCTGTGTGTTGTAACACGCCAGTGCTGTTGACCAGTGTGTGTGTGTGTGACGCGCGGATTGCCAAAACGGTTCTATAACTTGAAAAATACACATTCCACATATGCTTGATAATAACGGCGTGCAAACAGAGCAAACGTGTTTTTGATAGTGGTTTCGAGAAACGTTGCGTGTGGTCTCGGGCAGGATAATATCGTCGCTAGGGACGGGATGATCGTGATGACGATGGACGGGACGGGAGTGGAGGAATAGCAGCCAAAAGGGGAGAAGAAGACGGAGCAGATGGAGCGGCGTGGGGGTTAGCTGTTGTGTGGGAGTGAGACGGTGGAAGCAGTGAGAGAGACCGTGCGTGAAAGTGTGTGTGGGGGGGGGGGGGGGGTGAGTTAGAGTTCCATCCAGCAGTGGATAGATCGTGACCGAACAACGACGATGTGGGAAAGGGAGATGCGTTAAAATAGTACTCACGTGTAACACGTTAAAATAGTACTCACGTGTAACACTTTAGAATAGTACTCACGTGTAAGACTTTAAAATAGTACTCACGTGTAACACGTTAAAATAGTACTCACGTGTAACACTTTAGAATAGTACTCACGTGTAACACTTTAGAATAGTACTCACGTGTAAGACTTTAAAATAGTACTCACGTGTAACACTTTAGAATAGTACTCACGTGTAAGACTTTAAAATAGTACTCACGTGTAACACTTTAGAATAGTACTCACGTGTAACATTTTAGAATAGTACTCACGTGTAACACTTTAAAATAGTACTCACGTGTAACACTTTAGAATAGTACTCACGTGTAACACTTTAAAATAGTACTCACGTGTAACACTTTAAGGAAGCCTGCAAAAGTGTAGCGGTCGGATCTTAACATGACTGCTGATCTTGCAGCGGCGATCTCAGATTAAAATGTCTTTGTGTGTGTGTGTATATGCTACACGGGGGGATCTTTGTCTTTATATAAGCAATAGACACTGTGTCTGTGTGTGCGGGCGTGTGAAGAGGGTAGAGATTCCACCACGACCACCACCACCACCACGTTAGCTCTCCATCAACTTGTATCCCTCGAACTGCAAAAGGCAGATGGTTTTAAATGTGAGTGGAGGGTGTGTCCACAGAGGAGGGAGTGCTGGCGGTGGTGGTTGCGCTGCTGGTGATGATGAAGGGGATGATGGTTGGGGTGGTGGGGGGGGATGGAGTCTGTCCACGCACGCCACGTAACTAACCAAAACAAAATTGACAAAGATCCCCCGTGTAGCCTTGGCAGACGGTTGGGGCAAGTGCTGTTGGCGAGTAGCACCTATGAAGGCCGGGACGGCGCAGGAGTGGGTGGGTGGCCAGCACCACGCCCGGCCGCCTTTGTCTCCCCAGTGGCGATGTTTACACATGTACTCGTTTGAGGCTGAATCGACCTAGGGGAGGCCCAGGAGCGATTCAGAAAATCGTCACCAGTGTTGGCCGTGAGCGGGAATCGAACTCGGGTCGCCGGGTTCGTAGCACGCGCAGCGTTGCGCAAACAGTTGCAACGCCATTCCCCTCCGCGAGGGCCTTGGACGAAGTGCACCTAGCCTGGTACAAGCGCCGTGGTGGGGGCTGGCTGCTGTTGTTTATGTTGTGTGTGTGTGTGGAGTAAGTGCTGTTAGCGAGCACCTATTAAGGCACGGGAGCGGTGTAGCCAGGACCACGCCCGGTCGCCTGCGCTCCCCACCCACCCCATCGCCGCAGCAAGTACCCAGTTTAGGCCGAGCCGACCTAGGGGAGGCACAGGACCGATTGCCAGAGAACACTCGCCGCTGACGCGTCAGCCGTGGCCAGCAATCTAAGGCAACTTCGCCGGGTTCTGAGTGTCAATTGGTCAAACAAAACCAAAAAAAGTCCATCTCGAGCGGTGGACAGCGGTGGTGTGTGAGAGCTATTTCGGGGCTTTACCTTTGCTTTTGTGTTGCCTTTATAGGGGCAGACCTCGCTTAGCGCGACCCCGTAGAGCGCCGATTCGTTATAGTGCTCGTTGTACTGGAGAAAAATATAAACGAACAATAAAAATACTAAAATAAAAAAAGCCTGTACTGGAGTCACTATCCCCGAATCATGAACTAGAAATTAATACGACGTTCATTCGGAACAGCTGTCCTGTGAATCAAAGAGGGTTTGATGATCACAACACTGGAAAACGACGTCTTTATTCATGCAAGGAAGCGCCACAGAGGCTCAGGACTCTTTATCAAGAGGGAGAATTATCTGAACCGGTCCTGGGCCGCCCCTAGGTCGACTCAGCCTTAAATGAGTACCTAGTGCGGTGCGTAACCATCAGCATCGGGAAGAGACAAAGATGGCCGGGCGTGGTTTTGGCCACCCACCGCCTCGTATACTCGCTAACAGCACTTGCCCCAACAGTTAAGGCTATACGGGGGAACTTTGTCTTTGTGTGGGTGTTTGTCCGTGTATGTGCGGGTACTGGGGAGCGGTGGTGTAGCGGTTAGCGCGCTGCGCTGAACCCGGAGACCCGAGTTCGATTCCCGCTCACGGCCAACACCGGTGACGATGAACTGAACAGGTCCTCAGCCTCCCCTAGGTCGACTCAGCCTCAAATGAGTAACTGGTGCGGTGTTTAAACATTGCCACTGGGGATACAAAGGCGGCCGGGCGTGGTGCTGGCCACCCAGCTCCTCGTGTGCCGTTCTGGCCTTCATAGGTGCTGCTCGCTAATAGCACTCGCTCCAGCAGTCTGTTAAGGCTACACGGGGGATCTTTGTCTGTAAGTCGATGTGTGTGTGTTTGTCCGTGTGTGTGAGTCTATGGGTGTGTGTGTTTGTTTGTGTAACTCTGTGTGTGTGTGATTGTGACTCTATGTGTGTGTGTTTGTGTGTGTAACTCTGTGTGTGTGTGTGATTGTGAGTCTATGGGTGTGTGTTTGTGTGTGTAACTCTGTGTGTGTGTGATTGTGACGCTATGTATCTGTGCCTATGGAGAGTGAAATAAGCGCAAATCACAAATCACCCAAACCCAACCTTCACGAAAGGGGGGGGGGGGGGGGCGAGTGAGGGGAGGGGGCTCTATGCCCCCCCCTCCATCCCATACTCGTGTGCGCTCCACGATTGTATTGGGGGATTCATGTCTCAAGCTGGGTAAACACGGCGCATTGCGCTGATAGTGATGCTAAAAGGCCGTCTTTGTCTCTCTCACTACCCCCATCACCCCCAGCACACACCCACGATACGATAAAGAAGCCTCAACGCAACATGTGTGTGTGTGTGTAGGGTGTGTGTGTGTAGGGTGTGTGTGTGTAGGGTGTGTGTAGGGTGTGTGTGTGTAGGGTGTGTGTATGTGTGTAGGGTGTGTGTGTGTAGGGTGTGTGTAGGGTGTGTGTGTGTCGGGTGTGTGTAGGGTGTAGGGTGTGTGTAGGGTGTGTGTAGGGTGTGTGTGTGTGTTGTGTGTGTGTCGGGTGTGTGTGTGTGTCGGGTGTGTGTGTAGGGTGTGTGTGTGTAGGGTGTGTGTGTAGGGTGTGTGTGTGTAGGGTGTGTGTGTGTGTAGGGTGTGTGTAAGGTGTGTGTAGGGTGTGTGTGTGAAGGGTGTGTGTATGTGTGTGTAGGGTGTGTGTGTGTAGGGTGTGTGTATGTGTGTGTAGGGTGTGTGTGTGTAGGGTGTGTGTGTGTAGGGTGTGTGTAAGGTGTGTGTAGGGTGTGTGTGTGAAGGGTGTGTGTAGGGTGTGTGTGTAGGGTGTGTGTAGGGTGTGTGTGTGTAGAGTGTGTGTGTAGGGTGTGTGTGTAGGGTGTGTGTATGTAGGGTGTGCGTGTATAGGGTGTGTGTGTAGCGTATGTGTGTGTAGGGTGTGTGTGTGAAGGGTGTGTGTATGTGTGTGTAGGGTGTGTGTGTGTAGGGTGTGTGTGTGTAGGGTGTGTGTAAGGTGTGTGTAGGGTGTGTGTGTGAAGGGTGTGTGTATGTGTGTGTAGGGTGTGTGTGTGTAGGGTGTGTGTAGGGTGTGTGTGTCGGGTGTCTGTGTAGGGTGTAGGGTGTGTGTAGGGTGTGTGTAGGGTGTGTGTAGGGTGTGTGTGTGTTGTGTGTGTGTCGAGTGTGTGTGTAGGGTGTGTGTGTGTAGGGTGTGTGTGTAGTGTGTGTGTGTCGGGTGTGTGTGTAGGGTGTGTGTAGGGTGTGTGTGTGTCGGGTGGGCGTAGGGTGTGTTGTGTGTGTAGGGTGTGTGTAGGGTGTGTGTAGGGTGTGTGTCGGGTGTGTGTGTGTGTAGGGTGTGTGTGTGTAGGGTGTGTTGTGTGTGTAGGGTGTGTGTAGGGTGTGTGTAGGGTGTGTGTCGGGTGTGTGTGTAGGGTGGGTGTGTAGGGTGTGTTGTGTGTGTGTGTAGGGTGTGTGTAGGGTGTGTGTAGGGTGTGTGTCGGGTGTGTGTGTAGGGTGTGTGTGTAGGGTGTGTGTAGGATGTGTGTGTAGGGTGTGTTGTGTGTGTAGGGTGTGTGTAGGGTGTGTGTCGGGTGTGTGTGTGTAGGGTGTGTTGTGTGTAGGGTGTGTGTGTAGGGTGTGTGTGTAGGGTGTGTGTGTGTCGGATGTGTGTGTACGGTGTGTTGTGTGTAGGGTGTGTGTGTGTGTGTCGGATGTGTGTGTAGGGTGTGTTGTGTGTGTGTAGGGTGTGTGTAGGGTGTGTGTAGGGTGTGTGTGTGTAGGGTGTGTGTGTGTAGGGTGTGTGTGTGTAGCGTGTGTGTGTGTAGGGTGTGTGTGTGTAGGGTGTGTGTGTAGGGTGTGCGTGTATGGGGTGTGTGTGTGTAGGGTATGTGTGTGTATGGTGTGTGTGTAGTGTGTGTGTAGGGTGTGTGTGTAGGGTGTGTGTAGGGTGTGTTGTGTGTGTAGGGTGTGTGTAGGGTGTGTGTCGGGTGTGTGTGTGTTGGGTGTGTTGTGTGTGTGTAGGGTGTGTGTAGGGTGTGTGTCGGGTGTGTGTGTGTAGGGTGTGCGTGTGTAGGGTGTGTGTGTGTGTGTGTAGGGTGTGTGTGTGCCGGGTGTGTGTGTGTGTCGGGTGTGTGTGTGTAGGGTGTGTGTGTGTAGGGTGTGTGTGTGTGTAGGGTGTCTGTGTGTAGGGTGTGTGTAGGGTGTGTGTCGGGTGTGTGTGTAGGGTGGGTGTGTAGGGTGTGTTGTGTGTGTGTGTAGGGTGTGTGTAGGGTGTGTGTAGGGTGTGTGTCGGGTGTGTGTGTAGGGTGTGTGTGTAGGGTGTGTGTAGGATGTGTGTGTAGGGTGTGTTGTGTGTGTAGGGTGTGTGTAGGGTGTGTGTCGGGTGTGTGTGTGTAGGGTGTGTTGTGTGTAGGGTGTGTGTGTAGGGTGTGTGTGTAGGGTGTGTGTGTGTCGGGTGTGTGTGTACGGTGTGTTGTGTGTAGGGTGTGTGTGTGTGTGTCGGATGTGTGTGTAGGGTGTGTTGTGTGTGTGTAGGGGTGTGTGTAGGGTGTGTGTGTGTAGGGTGTGTGTGTGTAGGGTGTGTGTGTGTAGGGTGTGTGTGTGTAGGGTGTGTGTGTGTAGGGTGTGTGTGTAGGGTGTGCGTGTATGGGGTGTGTGTGTGTAGGGTATGTGTGTGTATGGTGTGTGTGTAGTGTGTGTGTAGGGTGTGTATGTAGGGTGTGTGTAGGGTGTGTTGTGTGTGTAGGGTGTGTGTAGGGTGTGTGTCGGGTGTGTGTGTGTTGGGTGTGTTGTGTGTGTGTAGGGTGTGTGTAGGGTGTGTGTCGGGTGTGTGTGTGTAGGGTGTGCGTGTGTAGGGTGTGTGTGTGTGTGTAGGGTGTGTGTGTGCCGGGTGTGTGTGTGTCGGGTGTGTGTGTGTAGGGTGTGTGTGTGTAGGGTGTGTGTGTGTGTAGGGTGTCTGTGTGTAGGGTGTGTGTGTGTGTAGGGTGTGCGTGTATAGGGTGTGTGTGTAGGGTGTGTGTGTGTGTAGGGTGTGTGTGTAGGGTGTGTGTGTGTAGGGTGTGTGTGTAGGGTGTGTGTAGGGTGTGTGTGTAGGGTGTGTGTAGGGTGTGTGTGTGTAGAGTGTGTGTGTAGGGTGTGTGTGTAGGGTGTGTGTATGTAGGGTGTGCGTGTATAGGGGGTGTGTGTAGCGTATGTGTGTGTAGGGTGTGTGTGTGTAGGGTGTGTGTGTGTGTAAGGTGTGTGTAGTGTGTGTGTAGGGTGTGTGTAGT